GCGAAATTAGCTGCGTCATTCGCGTTGTCGAAATCACAACGCATCGCCTTTTCTATCCGTTTCATGGACACCGCCGAGGTTTTTAACCTCTGCATTCGTCATGTGCGATTCTGCTGTTTCGTTATATTTCATTGATATTGCATCATGCACAAGATATTCCAGGACTACCGATACTGGAATTTCAATGACGAATTTTTTTACATATTAAAAGTAAACTTGCGTGCAAAATTTATTTATTTCAACTTTTTAATATTTAGCATTAAAGATTCTTTGGTAATTGGACTTCCATTTAAATGCTATTAAGCATATTAGATAAATACAGATACTGTAATTTGTCCGCTAATATGTTCTAATCAGAGGAGATGCAAATGGCATGGTAATCAGAGATCATTAAATATCGCAAATAGGAAAATAATGCTATATAAATTAAGCAATATAAGTTAATTGCCGATTCCGCTGCAACATTTTACTATTTTGTAAGCGCGATTGGAATTAAATCGCGCAGTCGCGATTAAGTATAATTTATGACAATGCACATATAGCCGCGACATGCATAAGCGCGCTCTTAAATTGTGTAACGTTGCGCACGAGCATCTCTGCGAGGAATTGCATCGGGTGAGGACGATGCATCGCGGTCTATCGGGATTAAATGTATTTACCGCGTGCAGATAATTCCTGATCTTCCGTCTTATCGCGTGGCACCGCATGACTATTGACCCTGCTTAACATTGATTGATTTCAACACACACGTCCCGGGCACGGCGCAGTCGAAAAGAATTACGCGCTATCTCCTCGCCCGGCTATTTATAATGTTTTTAATGCGCGTGCGGAGAGGAAAATCTATTACGCGTTTACGGGCGATTGGAATTGCGCTAAACAGGGTTAGTAAAAAATCGCATGTCCGCGTATTTTCTGATTTATGTATGTTGATATTGAGAGCACTTGAAATTACTCATGTTTGAAATCCAAAGAGAAGCCGCACATTTTCTAGAAGTCGTCCGACCTAATGCCAAGATAAAGAATCAACATATCTAAAGTTTCCATTTGTTTGCACAAAATAATTTGACGAAATTGGAGCAACTTTGTGACGTTGAATTTTTTTACGGTTTCTTTTACGTATACAAATTCTCTACTTTGATGTAAAATGTGACGATCTCTGGAATATTCAACTTAGAAGCTCGAGTTTTTCAGCACGCAACAGACATTAGAAAACAATTCACTATCGAGAAAATAAAGAAAAAACTATGTTATGCGAGAATATTTTGATTAAATTTAATTTCTCTGAAATGACTAAAGTTATTGGATAATAAAATTTAATGTTATATTTTGATAAATAATTCGAGAAGCAAGATACAAGCGCGTGCACTTAGCGTCTTGTACTTTTTTTTTTGGAAAAGATAATTTTATTAACTACATTAAGTCAGCGAACGACTGCCGCAAGAACGGTGTTCGGAAATCGCGGAAGACGCGACAAAGAAGCAGCGCGGGGCGGCTGCGGTGATGGCGGTCAGTAATAAAAGATTTTTCTACCGAACGGTTATCGCGATGAGCCGAGGCTGAACTGCGGCATATAGGGACGGTCGTGAGTATCGTCAAGTATACTTCTCGTAAACATATTGCCGGCGCGCGGCGTCCACCATCGGCGTTTAGTATTCTCAAGTTGCAGTTAGCATCCGGTTAAAGTGGCAGCGCGACCGCACCCATCGCGGGCCGGACGATACTTTTTTTCCGTTAGCGTGGAGAGGAAGAGAGAGAGACAGAGAGCGCGGTGAAACCGTTTCCTTTTTGCTTCGCCTCGATTCGGCGGGGATCTGACATGGGCCTTGGGAGGATCGAACCGCCGCCGCCGCCGCCGCCGCCACCGCCACCGCCGTCGCCGCCGTCGCCGCCGACGACGACCTATATCGCTTTTATGTTAGCTCTTGAAATACGAACACCACCGAATCCTAGACGTCTCGCCGTTCTCCTCGATCTCCTTCGATCCTCAGAGGATCCCGCGCTCGTTACCTGTCTGCCAATAAACTGCGCGATTCCAGGAAACCGACGTGCGGAAAGAGAATCGATATTCTATAGATATAAATAGTTTTACATCGTACGGTGCTTTTATTCCGAGGTGCAGACTTATGTCCCGCGTCGAAAGAGGAGAAATAGATTTTGTTTGAAAAGAGAGGCACGATCGGTGGGAGATCGATTTGTTTTGATCGATTGATTTTTATATATATTGAAAGTTTTATTCTCCAACTTGCGTGAACTGGAAGATTAATCGATTTCAGAAAAATATTCAGAAAAATACTTCGAAACTGGACGGTTTAGTCTTGAAAATAATAACGCTCGTTTCGCAGAAACGGTCTACTTCGTAGAACTAACCTATATTCAAGGGTTAGCCTTGACAGTGAAAAGAAAACAGGGATCTAATTAGGTGAGAATGACGCATTTATAAGCGACTTGTAGTTATGCCAAAAAATTAAGAGATCCCACGTTATAACCCGACCGTGAAAAAGAAACGCGTCGACGCGAGAATAGAGGTGAGAGAGTCGTTATTTCTGAAACGTCGCGTTCGGAGATATGATTTTATTTGATAGCACGGAAACTTCGGTTTACGGATTAATCGCGTTGCGCAAGGCTTGTTTGCGGGAAACGCGGTCTCGACCCGCGAGTGCGACAGAAGAGAGCGACAGACGCCACTCTCTCGTCGCATCCGTTCGCCGAAAAAGTTTCGTTAGGCCCCGTATATATGGTTTATATTTGTATGACTTTCAACGTGCGCCTCTCTTGACGTGTTTGCACAAAATAAAGAATTTGGCCCCAGGCGTCCGCGCGGCTTTCGCATATACGCGAGTCGTCGTCGTCGTGTGGCGTGGCTACTAAAAATATATCGTAGGCGAAACAACCGCGCGCGAGCACACTGCGTTTTCTGCCGTACTGCATTTATAGATCGGGGCATTTACCGAAGAAAAAAAAACTCGCCTTGTATGAAAGGCGGCGCGATCGAAGGGCAAGAACCACGTGGATTGTGGAATCGTATATGAAGTTTGAACAAATTCGACTTTCGCGAAATTAAAGCGTGAAATCGTTGATCGGTGGAATGCAACTTGCGCGGAATTTATATTTTTCTTCTGATTTCAATGAAACTTTTAGTCGGTGTGCAAAAATACAATTTTGATGAAGCTAGCTTGTACTTTCAACGGTTCTTACTAGAAAATACATTATTTGTGAATTTTATACTTTTTTTATTAAGCATCTCGTGAATATATTCAATAAAAATAAAAATAGCTCGCTACTTCTCTACGTAAGAAACGAGATTATTACGAAAGCGTCCAGTTGGGAGAACATAAGGCTTCCGTGATTCTGTCATTTCTACTAGAATAGAAAACGTGTGCGTGTATGTGTGTGTGTAACAATGACTGCATTTTGATTTCTACGCACAAATAGGCTCAATGAAGCTTGAATTGTTATTTCCGCGTAAAACAATTGCTGAAAAAGTGTCCAGCTGGCCGCGCACTACGTCTGACGAGGCTAATGCGGCCCTAGAATTTCTATGAGAATGGAAAATGTGGTGATTCGAGCGCTATTATGCAACTCCCCTAGGCACAGCCGCGCAGAATTGCGTTCGACGGAATACAAGAGCACCGCGGGGCTGGCCTGGCACTATAAACCTGTTTACGCGTAAAGTCTACCACACTCGCCATTTTTTTTTACGATGCCATATCCATGCGCTTTAATACGCAACGCAAAGTAGGAAGAAATCATTTTTACGGTCCCACGATTACTTGACTGCGCACTCCGTAAGTAAACAATGTGCGTAAACAGCGATAAGGAGTTTGTGCATCGGCCGATGTACGACTTACGCGTGTAATATCGCGACGCCATAAACCGAATTATCTTTTTTCGGGAGAAGGACGATTGTTTCTTTCCGTTAATAATACAAATTAGTTTGCATTTATGCAAACTATAATACAAACTGGACAGTTTTTTTGTACGACCACGCGAACTTTAAAAACTGCAAAAGTTGATTACATTTAAAATCAATAAGGATAAAGAAGTTTAAAAATATATATTTAGAAAGACGTATTATTTTGCATGTTTTTTTGGAAATTATTTTAAGCTGCAGCGGTTAAATTAATGGCTTACGTTTCAAAATTTCTTCTCCGCAACATACACGTCTCCCCAAGATATATTATCTGGCATACGTAAAGACGCATTCAAAAGCCCATCATATGAGAAAGTGCACGCCACGCTGATCATAATCTCTTAATTTCGCATGTTTTTACGCCCCCGCAAACACGGCATCCAAGCATCCAAACCGGTATAACGCAACTTTGCGGTCGCATCAGGTTGCACAGGATTAAACTAATCGCAGAAAGATACAAGGACATCACGGTTATCAGGCATTCGTTGCCACCCTCGCGTCCACCGTTTTCTGCTGAAAGAAATTCTTATCTTGTTTGGTTTTAGCTTCTTTATTTGCAAACTAAATTAACAAGATTCCGAATTTACTTTTCGATTTGCGACATCTCTATTTTAATGTGATAAATATCTCAATGTAATTTTATTTGAAAATAATTTTTGCAAAACTTTAATTATTTAATTATTTAAATCTATCAAATTTTAAATTCTTAATTTCCAAATATTACAATATGATAAAAAGACAGTACTATGGTCTCTGTTTTAAAATGTACTGTTTAAAATCTCGCCATCCGCGGAAACGAAACCCGGTATTGGCAGGAAAACGATGGCTAAGGTGGGAAACTGCGACCGCGTTTGACACTGACAGTGGCTGATTAGCGATCGAGTTTAAGGATACGCATAAACAGGCACACGTACGTCTGCATGCGCGCAACGCGGCGTAGCGCGCCGAAGTGAGCGCGAGTGGTGGTCGAGTCATGATAGATGAAGAGGAATGGGGGGAAATCGTTGGATGCGGATTGGCCGGCGCGTCTGTGGTAGGGATCGAGATACTCTTCACAGCTGAGCGCTGTATAGTTTCGGGCAGCCGCACGCTCTGGCCAGTAGCACATGAGCGCTCGTGCTCGACGAGCACGTAAATGTGGCATCCGTGCGAACGTAGGACTCGTCGTGTTTATTGCTTAAATAAGCTGAGTAAGAGAAGGTGTCCTACGCAGTGATCGAAAAGGATAGCAACGCGCTGATCCATGATCCACAGTCGAGTCGCGTTCACGAGAAGAAGCACTCGCCGTTGCGTCGAAAACGTGTAACGTCCCTTCGGAATCATTTTTCGCCCGACGGTCAAACAGGCGGAATAGACGAGAGATCCAAGTTTTTCATTCGGGCGAACGAGCACTCGTTTTTACGATTTGTGTTAAAACGTCTCGACGCAGCGAGATCGGATTTGTTGAAGTACGTCGATTGGTGAAAAAGTCGCGAAGCGGCCGTCTGTAACTTTGCGTCTGCGACGAGTGATCGACAGCGATCGACAGCGATCGAGGGTGAACTACAGTAATCCTCACGTTTGCTGGCGAAGCGCCGCGGATTGTGATGCAAGTCGTCGATTTGCCTCTATTATTAAATTAAAGTGAAGTGCACGTGGAGTTTTTTGGAAGCGGCCCGAAAATGGTGCCAACGCAGCAGGATAGCCCCTCGAGCTCGGGGTTAACCATCGTTTTTGGATCATTACTTGTGGATGAGAATTCACTAACACCTTATTCGGATGCGACACAGGTAAGTACAATTTCCTAATTTCATCCCGCGTGTGCCTGGGAAAACTTGGAAATATCAGAAAGTGTGTCCTCGGAAAATTTTATATGACTAAAGAGAATTTTTGTCGAGATTGTTTCATCGAGAAATTGCGTTTATTTTACAAACCGAAGGTCAGCCGTTGGTTGAATTTTAATAGTTACGCACTGTTTTTACTGAATAAACAGACGTTTATTTTAAAACAAAAAATACGATCAGGTCCACCATATCTGAAAAATCAGAATTCTCAGAAATTTTTCCAAGTTTTAAGTAAACATGTATTACACTTTACTTCATTTTTATTTTTTATGCATTTTCGTGACTATGGCCAATTTTCTTTAGAAATGGACATTGGTTACAAATCTTAAAAAATATGGAAAAGCGAATAAATTCTAGTTTGATCATTTTTGTATCGTGATTAATATCGACATATTAAGCAAATTTTTATATCATGTTTATAGTAGCTTATTATAAAATTAACGTCATGATGATTATATTCATTATCATGCACGCACATTTCGATAGCTGCATAAAGAGAAACCGCAATTATAATAACTGAGATAAAAATCACTTTGCGTCGGACAGAAATTGCATTGAATACGGCATAGCCTGTGTGAATTGGACGGCAGTTCGCCTGACAGCTGACCATATAGCGGCTCATTCGAAGCCATAATAAAGTTTCGTTGCTACCTTTTTTTGTACAGCAAGGGTTAAGTTGTTTTGAAAGCGGCGCAGGTAAAGATTCGAAGCACAGCCAAATATTACTGCACGAATGCGTCGAAGGTCTTAAGTTGTATTTTTCATTTTTTTAGAATACTTTCCACAGATTTGATTAGCGAAATTTAGTTTTATTATAGTGAGAGATAAAAAATGGTGCGGGAAAAAAAGTGCTAATGACATTGTTAATAAAGCCGAAAAACTATGAATACTTCAAATTGGGTCATAAACCATATTTTTATCTCAGCACGTGGCGAAGTGTATAAATCTCTAGCAATGTTAAACGCAATTTATTGCTTCACGGCGTGTTCTCTTTCGTATCCATCGATGCGACTTTTATGAATTTATGACGGACGATCGCACGTTGGTTACACAGTTGGAAATGACAAGCGCGATTTCTCGAAACACTGCGCGCGCGCGATTATTCATGGGGCAATTTTGCATCTTTTTTCCTATAATTGAAAACATTTTCCGTAGATACGCATTAACAAAAGCTGTTGTAATATCAAGAGCAATTTTTATTTTTTGCGCAATGATTATTGCACAATGTATAATTATTTATGTAAAATAGAGCAAAACACTGAAGAAATTATTTGTTTAATATCCGTGCATTTGACGCTGTCTATGATTTGCATAGGAAAAGCTATCGGAAATATCGAAATACGCGGAAATGTAATGTAGATGTAATTTTAAAGTAGAACAACCGAAGTTCTGGCGATTAGTCCAATGCACACGACAATGATTCAGTGCAATGTTTTTAACTTGTCGAGAAGAATTTTATTCTTTGATGAAACGCGATAGTACGCTTAAATAGTTCGTTGGACGAAACGCAAAATATCGCCGGTGATGTTTGTTTACAAGACTCGTTTCGCCGCCGTCATAAACAGTGTTTTTTTTTCGGGCTTATGTATCGACCGACGCGGTTCGTGGTAAAGTTTTTGACCGAAAGAAATTGGTCGTTCCAATATAAGAGTATATTTATTGTGCTATTGATTGCTGTCGAAGGAGATTCACGCCATATCAGCAATTTGCAGTCGTAGTTGTATGAATGTTAAAAGTTTGAACACTAGGAGATACGATGGAGAAATTTAAAAAGTAAATAGTAGTTTCCTTTTTTTCAAATTTTCACACGGTAAGGATCGACTTAATCCTCTGTAATATTTTTTCCGGGCGAAAAAAAATGCCGAGGAAAAAGAAATGTGGTTTCGGTCACATCAAAGGAGAGTCGTTAGGCTAGATTTGAATATGTCTGCCTCGGACCCGTATAGTGTTACAACTGCTTCAGACACATGCATTGTAAACGTAGATGTGTGTGGGTGCGGCGCTGCATTTCCTTGGCGCGACGACGGAGTGCCATATGGCCCGCGTGAAAATTCTTCGGTGCTTCCAGACCTCGGCTCTGCTCGTGGTGGCCGATATGGACCGGATATTCCTCCCCCGTGTGTAATTACTTGAGGGCACACGGATTCGATCGGCACGCCGACATTTTTCTTAGTAAGTCCCGGCCTCGAATCTTTCCGACCAGTCAATTATCCTTCGGGACTTTAATGACTCGGGGCTTCTAATTCTAGAGTTCGGTCCGTCCAGGTAGTTCTCTTCAGGGTTATGTATTTTGTATCGCTCCGGGGAAATAACATTCCCCGGTATCGCGCGGCTCGGTTCGAGCATCGGTTCGCGGCGCGGAATAATCGATCGATCGCGTCATCGTCGTGATTTTTGATTTCGCACGCACGACTCCGCCGCCGCTGCCGAGTCGTTTGAGAGTCTGTAATTCGACGGTGCAACATGGTCGTCCATTTCGATCGATTGCAAGCATGAATCAGAAACATTAATCGTTCTATTTAGCATTCGTAGTTTTGCATGGATTACTTACCGAAGTCGTTCGATTACTTAATTTCCGTACACTGAAATGCGAATTTGTAAATCATATTTTTCTATATTGTTTATTGCACATTTTTTAGAGATTTCAGACTATAAAAAGTATGAAAATTGATTCAACATAATCGCTATTCTATTGAATTAAGCGTGTAAAATTTTTGAATATTTAATTCAATGAACTTTCTATTCGATCTTGTTGCATCGCAATTACATTAAACATCTTAATCTTTTATATGATATGTCATAACTCCACACTGCGCGTTATCAAATCTTGGCTGCATCCGCCTCGTGATACATGCGTGAAACCGCATAACAAGTGCACTACGATAAACAGAACACGTATAATAAAGAAGAAACAAGAAAAAAGCATAGTTTTGTACGACACAGGATGTCTGGAAAAGAATCAAATTTGTTAATATATAAAAAAATGGAAGATTTCCAACACTTTATATGTATTTGTAAATTCAAGGACCACATTTAGTCTAAACAGAGATAATTGACTTCTAGTTTTATTTTTATAACACGGATATCTTATCCGGCGAATTGATATCTGTGTACAGGACGCCGCATTTTTCGACGTTTGATTTACGTCGCTTCGGAAATGAGTCGCGCGCGTGTGTTGGGAAACTTGGGCGCGGTGCGAGAAGGACGAAAAGAGGACTCGACGGGGAACGTGGGATCCGTAATTTTCGTCTCGATTCCAATTTCTTTTTCTCGCGGGCTTAATCTCGTCCGGTAAATTGGCCCTCTGAACTTCTCTTTGACTGGGCTCTCGGCCTCTCTGGCCTTCTTCGTCTCCCGTCTTCTCCTCCGCCGTTGCTGTCCGCCTCCTCCCGTCTTGATAGGTACAATCCCATCAAATTATCCCGATTATCTGCAACCTTGACGATATACGCGAGCCTTTCTAATAGAGACAGTCGCGCACCGATGTTAACGACGATTTCGAAGTTGAACGCGTGCCGTCGATATTTACCGTGTCTCTTGCTATGACGTAAGTTTTGTTAGACTCGCGCATTCATCGCTATCGCGGTCGTCTGCTTCTCGTCTTGCGTTCATATCGAATGTGACACTCGCGACTCGTTATATCCCGATTTATTTATTTCGAAAAATCTGTATTTCTATGTTGCAAGCATGTCTATCTTCCGCGTTACAAGCATAATTTACATCGACGGACCACGATATTTATTTTCGTCGTGTCTGCACACACGTCTGAAAAGATATTACACTCGTAAGCGGTTAAATAATCTCAGCAAACGCGATAGAGAACGTTTCTTAGTGCGGTAATTACATAAACCACTGTGGCATAACTTTAATCAGGGGATATTACCTCGATCTTGCGTTTGCCAAGAGGAGAGTTCCACACACTATTGAGAGTAAAAAGCCGCGAGCGGATATGTAGTCGGCTCTTCGCTCTCAGCTCGCTTTCACAGAAAGCTCGCGTGATAACGCGCAGCGCGGGATAAGTCGATGTTCTGGGAAGAGCATCCGGTGGCGCGGCGGCTGGAAAAGAGATCCGCGTTTTATCGTGAAGAAACACAATTACCAATACTGGGGCAAGCGCTGTTGGCGGTCGGTTTACTGGCGCAGTGGAACGCACGCGAAATGCAAATCGCCGCCACTTTCCCCGCACGCGTACGCATGAACGTGACATTTTTTGCTCGCTCGATTGTTCTATTTGTGAAAATGGTTATTGGAATTCGTATGCTCATGTCACGTTTTAGCGTCAGTTGTGTCCCTCTGATTCAACCGACGTGTCAATATCGAACGCAATTTACTTATCGATTAAATCTCGAGAATTAAATATACATAAGCGCTGCGTGTGTAGAGATACGAGTCTAATGGTATATAAATATATTTAACAATTCGATATGAAATATTCTGCATACCGCAGATATCCTACTTTGCGTAAAAATATTATTTAAAGCAGCGAGCATTTTATTGAATTTATTATAGAAGAAATAATTTTTTATTTTTTAATTAAAATTAAAAGAAATGGCACTCGGAATGTATTTTCGGAGAACAGCAAAACTTATTTCCATAAGAGTGTTTTCTTCAATTTCATCTTGTACAATTATTTAAATACATTACATGAAACTTTGCGACTTTCTAAAAAAAAAGTCTAAATCAAAATGATTTCGCAATCTTTCTCACGGCTCTTTTAAACGTACATAAATGTGTGAAGAAAAAAAAGACCCATGGGTGCTGGAGTTAATCGCTAATCGTTGGATTATCTACGGGTGGATTATTAGCGGTGAAACCATCGGCGATGCCGTAACACCGTGTTAACCGGTGTAACGGTATTACAAAAGCGACAGTGAAATGGCGGGATGAGAACGCCGGTTTCGCTCTTTGAAAGTTACACGCGCGCATACGAGCGCGTCGCGTTGTAA